CTCAGGAGCCCTTCAGATGATTTTCCAGACATGTTCATTCAGTGTAATGAAGCTTCTCAAATATCTTAGTTTAGCCATAAACAAGGGCCCAGGGATCATGCTGTTTAATTTTCCCAGCCCAAGATTGACAAGTGTATAGGCCACATACACTGTATTATGTAGAAGAGGGCAGTGAACTTAGATCTAAAGGCTTACTGTGAAAATGCATTATTAAATAAGATATCTCCAATGAAACTAAAATGATAAAAAAACTTTTGAGACAGGATCTCCATATATAGCACATTTTTTGTGCATTTCAGTAAACACTATGGTCACCAGGGTTATGATCCACAGAAAGCAAGAAGGTAGTTTGGTTCAAAATGACTAAGTAAACTTTGTTTTTCTGAACCCAAGTAATTTCCTGTACCTATATTTAAGCACCACACAGTTTCCTGAAAACTTGCCTGGTGTTTATTAACTCAATGCCAGGAACACAATAAAGCACAAAGTAAGCTAAAATAAAGGATCAAATACATCTACATCAAACAATTTATAAAGTACATGTGACACCTTCCATAATGATGGGTGCTATAGATTGACTACATGTGATACCTTCCATCAAGATAGGTTGTATAGACTGGTTGAGAAAAGCAAGCTCACAATAAGGATCTAGGAGAAGCTCTAGTCTGCTCTCTGTCACACAGATAGCACAAAAGTCATTGAAGCCTTCTGGGTTGATAACATGTTATGAATTACTATCTTTGATGGAACAACCCTGTGTGGTTAACATCCCAGATTCTTTCGTACTTTTCTTTGAGCACAAGGACCTCCCATTCTCCACTGTTAGGCCTTGAAATCATAATTTCCATGCCGCCACTTACAATGTTGCAGGATTAGAGAAGTGAACCTCACCATAGAGAGTTTAGTTTGACTAGTACAAACAAATAACTATTCTGAATCTGCAAAAATATAAACCCATAATTTTGAAATGTTGTTTATATTTGTTGTTGCTACTGCTGTGTGTGTGTGTGTGTTTGTGTGTTTGTGTGTTTGTGTGTGTGTGTGTGTGTGTGTGTGTGTGTGTGTGTGTGTGTGTGTGTGCTAGAGGAGGACAATTTGCGGAAGTCAATTTCTCATTCTACCCTGTGGGTCCTGACTCACATAAAATATTCTTATTTGGGATTAAGCACCGTTATCTAACTGAGCCATCTTGCTAGCCCAGGTTGATTATTTCTCATTTGGAACTCAATCTAGAACATTCTTATAACTCAGAAAAAAAGACCATTAAAAAACATCAAGAAAAGGAGAAGACTGGCCTGGAAATCAAATGTATTTCTCTCTCTCTCTCTCTCTCTCTCTCTCTCTCTCTCTCTCTCTCTCTCTCTCTCTCTCTCTCTCTCCCTACCTGTATCTTTCTCTATTTGGTTGAGACTTCTGTTGTCTCTGTCTTCTAGTCTGGTCTGGACAGAGGACTTGACCAAAACTGACTTCAGACTACAATCCTTCTGTAACAGCCATACAAATCCCAGAAGACATGCCCCGCCATGCCAAAAACATAAATATGTTTCTATAATGACTATTGTAGAGAGCAGAGTCTATGGAAAAATAATCATTAAAGAAACAGAGAAAATGGAAAAAAATAAAACCCCAACTGTTTTGTAGTATTTTGACATAATGTAATACTATCAACAACAAAGAAATACCTCGTTACATTCATTTAAACTACCAAATAAAACATGACTGAAACATAAAAATTATTTATAATTGTTAATATGGAAAAATCTTTTTGTGACATGGAAAATTCTGAAGAAATGTTTATGGTTTGTGATTAAGAGATTGCTTCATCACTCAGTTCTAAATTCAAGCATCTCTTCAAATTGGGAAAACCATCACTTACATGATTCATATAAGAATATTTCTAGATGGAAGAGTCCACCTTCTGCTGCCCTGCTCAGAGCCTCCTGTGAACTGGGGAATGCACACATGGGATTCCATCCCAGAAGACAAGCCCATCCACAGTCTGCCAGAAACCTAGTACCACCTCAACTCACAGGAGGAAGTAAGCATGAACCTGTTCCTAGCCACCTTCTGAGACCCTGCATGGATCCTCCTGAGGACTAGGAACTCCACACACACAGGTGAACCCGTGAAGGTAAATAGACCTAAACAGAGACTTCCAATGCCCTAGTCTCACCTATACTGACTGGAAGAGGACAGCCATCAGAGTATTGGACATGCTTGCACCCACCGCAAGAGAACCTAGTCTTGTACATAATAGAAGAGGAAGAGACCCCACCAAGACCCACTGTAAAAAGGGATGACTAGTGGAAAGTGTTAGAATAAGTCAACAACAGAAAAACCAATAAGTAGCCACCAGAGTCTAAGGACACCACACCCACAAGACCTGAACATCCCAACACAGATGAAGCAGAAGAAAAGAACCCTAAAAAAAAACTTTATGATGATGAAAGATAACTCAAAGACATAATGAGAAAATCCCTTAAAAAATGGAAGAAGATAACAAAATAAAATTCAAGAAATGGAGTAAAAGATAAACCAAAAGATTGCAAGAAACAATTCAAAATTTGCAAGGCTTGAAAGCTGGAAAACAGAAAATCAAACAATACTGTCTAAGGGGATGCTGGGAATAGAAAGCAAGGTAAACGATCACGAAATACAGATGCAAGCATAACAAACAGAAAACACATGGAACAGGGAATATCAAACATTGAAGATACAATAGGAGAAACAGATTCATTGAGCAAAGAAAATTCTAAGTCCAACAAATCCTAAACTCAAAACTCCCAGGAAATGTGGGACACCATGAAAACACCAAACCTAAGAATAATAGGTATAGAAGAAAGTAAAGAAATCCAAAACAAAGGGGAAGAAAACATATTCAACAACATCATAGAACAAAACTTCTCAATGCAAAGAAAGATATGCCAATAAAAGCACAGAAGCTTACAGAACACCAAATAGAGTGGGCCACAAAAAGTCCACATCCCACATAATAATCACAACAGCAAACATACAGAAATAAGAAAGAATATTAAGAGCAGCAAAAGAAAAAGACTAAGTAATATATAAAGGTAAACCTATCAGAATTACACCTGACTTCACAATGGAAATTGTGAAGGGCAGATGTTCCTGGATAGTCTCCCAACCCTAAGAGACCACAATTTCTAGCCCAACCTACTATACCCAGCAAAGATAAATCATTCTAGGTTGAGAAAAACAGATATATCATGACAAAACCAGATTGAAACAATACATATCAATGAATCTAGCCCTACAGAAATTTCTGGAGAAAAATTTCAACCCAAGGAATTTAACTACACCCATAGGCAATAGATAAACACACTTTACAAACAGCCAAAAGAATAACGAGCAAAATCCACACACAATCACAACAACAAGAGCAAATCCAAAGCAAGCAAGTATTAGCAATCAATGGTCATTATTATTACTCAATATTAATGGTCATAACTTGCCTGAAAAAAGACACATGCTAACAGAATGGAGAAGAAGACAGAATCCATCCTTCTGCTCCATACAAGAAACTAAATTCAACTTCAAACAAATATGTTAACACAGAGTAAAGAGTTTGGAAAAGATTTTCCAATCAACCCAAAAGCAAGCCATTATAGTAATTTAATATCTAACAAATTAGACTTTAAACTAAAATCAATAAAAAGAGATGAAGAAGGTAATTTTGTATTCATCACAGGAGAAAGGAATCAAGATGAAATCTCAATTCTGAACATCTATGCCCCAAATACCAGTACATTCACATTTGTAAAAGAAATATTACTAAAATTCAAATCACACATAAAACCACACACACTAGTAGGAGATATCTATACTCTAGTCTCACCACTTACAGGATAACCAGACAGAAACTTGCCAAAGAAATGAGGAACTAACAGAAGTTATGACCCAACTGGGTTTAAAAGACAATTATAGAACATTCCATCCAAACACAAAAGAATGTACCTTCCTCTCAGCACCACATGGAATCTTCTCTAAAATAGACCACATACTCTGCAACATAGAAGACCTCAATAGGGACAAAATATTGGAATAACTCCCTGTATCTTATGAGACCACCATGCTTTAAAGTTAGAATTCTACAACACAAATTGCAGAAATACTACAAACTCATGGAAATTTAACAATGTGCAATTGCAGTATTCCTCGATCACAGAAAAAATAAAGAAATTAAAGACTTCCTAGAATTCAATGAGAATGATGACGCAATATATACAAACTTATGGGACACTTTGAAAGCAGTGCTAAGAGGGAAGTTCATAACACTAAATGCCCACATGAAGTCACTACAAAATTAAAAGCACAAAAAATGAAGCAAAGTCAACCTGGAGGAGCAGATGCCAGGAAATAATCAAACTGAGGGATGAAATCAATAAAGTAGAAACAAAGAAAACAATACAAAGAACCATTGTAGCAAAGAGTTACCTCTTTGAGAGAATCAACAAGGCAGACAAACCTTTATACAAACTCACCAAAAAGCAGAGATAAAACATGCAAATTAACAAGATCAGAAATGAAAAGGAGGACATGGCAAGAGACACTGAGGTAATGCAGAGAATATTCAGCTCATACTTTGAAAAGCTGTACTCAACAAAACTTGAAAATTCAAGGGAAATGGAAAATTTTCTGGATAGATATCACTTGCCAAAATTAAATCAAGAACAGATAAGCAATTTAAATATGCCTATAAACCCTAGTGAAATAAAAGCAGTCATCAAAAGTCTCCCAACTAAAATAAAAAAGCCCACGGCCAGATTGTTTCAGTGCAGAATTCTACCTGAAATTCAAAGAACAACTAACACCAATACTCCTCAAAGTGTTCCACAATAGAAGCAGAAGGGTCATTGTGAAGTCTTTTTACAAGACTACAATTACCTTGTTACCAAAGGAACACAAAAACAACTAAGAAAGAGAACTACCAACCATTTTCTCTCATAAACATTGATCCAAAAATACTCAGTAAAATACTGTTAAATCGAATCTATGAACACATGAGAGAAATCATCCACCATCATTGATTCGGCTTCATCCCAGGGAGGCAGGTACGATTCATCATATGAAAATTCATCAATGTAATGCACCATAGGTCGGACTAGGATGCAAGAAGACTCCTGACAGGATAGTTCACCGGGACAGGCTCTCCCATGGGTACACAGGCCCCAGGCCTCAGGAAGCTCCGAGAAGGAACCTCCATGAAATCTTTCTAAGGGGGCTTTGTTTTGGCATATAAAAAGGATGTTGACTTTGATAAACTGATTCTTTCCTTGTCGTGTCACTGAAATTGTTGACTCTACTACATGTGTTCTGGTAAAATTTTGGTGTGTCTTAGGTATAATATCATGACATATGAATATAAGAATAATTTAAATGCATCCTTCCTTAAGTGTGTGATTTTAATTCCCTTCACTTCCTGTATTGCTCAGTTTAAATGTCCAAGACAGCATTGTAGAGTACTGGGGATATTGGGCTCGTTGTCTTCTTCAAGATTTTAGAGTCTTTCTTTCCACGTTTTCTACATATAGGATGGTTTGGCAGGATGTTTGTCACAGAAGGCTTTTAATATTTTGAAGTATGTTGCCTCAATTCCTACTCTCTATGGGAGTTTTATATTGGAAGAATGATGTAAATTGTCACAGACTTTTTTCTTCATCTAATGAGTTTACCATGTGCTTTGCTGCCTTAATTACATTTTATTATTAATTATATTTATAGAATTCTGAATTGAACGAAGTCTATGTTACTGGGATAATGCCACCTTAATCATTGTGGATTGGCTCATTGATATTGAGATGTATTCATTTATTAGTATTTTGTTAAGGATTTTTGTCACTATAATCGCCAGTAGTGTTTTTCTCTTTGTACCATAAGTGTGGAGCAGACTATGTAGGTGTGGCTATGTGTTCCTTAATAGGGAATAAATTATTACTGAGTAATCATAAAATATTTGGAAGTTATCCTTCATACTCTACATCAAAAACAAGACTTTGAGAGAGGATGGATGGAATTCGTCTTTGAAGGACTTGAGGTAAGACTGATGTTTCCTTTTTAGGATCATTCCTGTTGATTTTGATAGCAGCTGAAGCACTTTTTACTTCCACTAACAAGTACTAAGCACAGTCCTTTCCCTGCATCCTCACTAACGTGCGTTAAAATTTCTTTAATGGATGTTTATCATGCTGAGAGAAGTAAGACAAAAATCTCTAAATAGTTTTCAATTCTTTTGCCCTGCTGGCTAAGATTGTTGAACACTTTTAAACGTTTCTCAACCATTTCTGTTTCACTTTCTGAGAACATGCTTTTTAGTTCTATAATCCAATTCTTGAAATTGAGTCATTTGTTTTCTTGTTGTTTATTTTGCTGGGGAAACAGGGAAAGAAGGATCCCTGTGCATTGTTAAGCTACAAAACTGATGCCTTACGGAGAGGAGACGCCAGGCTGTTTTGAGAATGTATCTGAAAAAAAAAAATACATTCTATAATTTGATGACAGAAGATTATAACTGAACATCATGAGAGTACAACTAACTACACTGATATTTAAATTATCTCTCTAGGAGTCCTTATTAAGAAATTGCCATTAATAATATACTTGGAAAGTACACTAGTTGATGAAAAGAATATTAGAATTTTGGTATATTTATTAAACCAAGCATGGTTTAATTTCTATAGCTCAGGACGTAAATTCAACTAATCAATTTTGAATTACCTCTCAAATTGGATATATATGATACATGAGGTCACAATGTGCATGGTGTGCTTTAGCACCTCCATGCCATTTGCACACTCAGCCGCTTATGTATCAACTAGCAATAGTAAAAGAACTAGTCATATCAGTTTTACCTTTGAAATGAGGCCACTTATATGTAATTGAGAAGAAAAAAAGCCAGCACTAAACATGAATAAATTTGAGAAACACTAGTGGACACAACTGGGTTATAAATATCTGTGTCAATTACTTGTCTCTCAACACATACACACACACACACACACACACACACAATTGAAAACACATATATTAAAATAAATATGTATATTCATGTAAAACTTGAAAACTGGAAGAAGACTTTGAGTGCCCATGAATAAAATTAGTTAGTTTGAAAATGAGGGTGGAAATGAGGTAAATTTACATTGAATGTATAAAATTTAAAAAAAAAGCATTAGTCAAGTATCATCTTCTAAGGGAATATTAACTTACAAGAGGCCCAAAGTAAGGTTAAATAGCAGATTTTATACCAAAACATGATGTCATAATTTTATTCATGTCTGTAGATTATATATATTGAATGTTCGTGGCTTCTGTTGTATCTTTAGACTTCAAAAGAATAGATGCATTAACACTGTCTGATAATTTTACTTTTTTCTTCATCCAATCCTTCAAAAAGATTGCAACTGACTTTTCTGTTACCATAGCTAACTATAATCTAAGGAATCTTAGAAATATACACAGAAAATTTTAATATGTTCATGTATGAATATAGGGCTTGTTCTCTATGGAACATCATTCTCATGAATTTATTTTTCAAACGTGAATGTTTCACATGTACACTGTTTAAGCATATCCTGACTGATTTACTTACTGAAATCATTTAGCAAAAAATAATCTCCTCAGATGGTCTATTGAAAATAGATTTCTTCCTCCCTTTTCAATATTGTGGAACAGTTAAGGAGATCCAAAGAATATGTTATATGAATTCTTTAAGTGTGTTAGGACCATTCAACTTTACATCACAATTTACAGCTGAAAATATATATGAAGCACAATATAAAATTCACTTCTGCATTGTTCTTGCCCAGCCAAGTCTCTCCAGTAATTGTGACATTTGCATTTTTACTATAGTTTTTGGTAGTATGGATATCATTTGTTACACCAGAGTGATTATTTTTATTATCTTAGTGAATATTCATATGCTTTTGAATGAGATCCATTTCACAAGGTATTTATTGCTTCTTGAAATAATTTATTTAATCATTCAATAAAGTAAGTAACAGTAAATACATCATGCTTTGAGAAATGAAAGATAAGCAAGGAGAGGAGACAATTCATATAGAAGGAAATGGTGATTTATTTATGATGCTGATTCCATGACCAAGAGGATATGATGCATAATTGCCATCCTGTTCTGACCTGTGCACACATGAAAGCAAAAATTAAACGTGGTTGAACAGACAGAAAATACTTCATCCTTAAGAGTGCATGCATATAAAATTAAATATCATAATATTGAGTATATATAAATGATTATACAAAAACGGTTTCCTTCCTGAAAATCACCAATACCTTCTACTGTGGATTATATAGGAGCACAGTCTACAGCGAATAATGACATTCTCTGTCCCCACATGAAAATATTGATTGAGAGGTTTCAAAGAATATATTGAAAACATTAACACTCTTGTACCATATCGTGACAGATAATATTCCAGAATCATAAGTAAAGTAAGATTTTTCAAATACCAACAAACATTTTGATAGAATATTCCTAAATATAAAATATTACCAATACTAAATAAAAGTCCTTCATATAGTTTTATAAATAAAAATATTATATCTTCCATTTAAATAACCATAACATTTTCAGCTTTAAAAGACAATAAAAAGCTCTGTCTTGATTTTGCCTACTTTTCAGTTCATTTTATACTTTGTCAAGACTTTTTTTAATTTTTATGTTAGAACACAAATCTATTCAAATATCAATAAGGTTAAGCATGGCCTCTGCTTATACTTACCTACAGAAGGTCTTTATTTAGGACAAGTATCTGAAAGAGAACATGAGTAGTAAGGATTGTCAAAGAGTGTTATAAGGATATATGAAAAGTTACCCCAATCATTATTGCTGCAAATGACAAATGAAAGATAACATGACTAGATATAATCTGAATCAGGTCTCTGACTAACTAGATAGATAGATAGATAGATAGATAGATAGATAGATAGATAGATAGATAGATAGATAATAGATAATTATAGTACATACATATACATCCATATATATTTCATTGAGTTTACCTGTAGCAAGAACATTATGAATGTTTTCTTCTGGAATTTTCTTTTCACGAGCATATTCCACAAGTTTTTCATGTTGTTCAGGTGTCAAATGTTTACTTTTTCCTGTATTGCATGAATGACAATGTCAGATACATGGTCAGTAGAGTTCTGAAGAATTTACATTGCTTCCTTAGTGTCCCACTGTGATGTGGAATGGAATGTTCCAACTTTATCGAAATTCACCTAACTTAGATGGGTCAATACAGTCAAATATAATTTCCCCAAAGTTCCATGGCATTGATGAACTCTAACTTGTGGTATGACATCACATTCTAGTGTTTCATGATGTATCCCACAATAAAAATTACTTCTCTGCAAAAATTATTCATCTGAATCCTATCCACATTCTAAAAACATAACAATAAAGAGTCATGAATGCATGTCAGTGTAACTTAAACAACTCTCCTGAGTCTATATGGTAAATTTCATGTTTTAATTTAGTGCACAGTTGATCAAATAATGCTCAAAATGGTCTGAATTTTAGGAAAATAATATTTTCTCCATTCTTTCCAGTGAAGAAACAAGAATATAAACTCTTCCATTAGCCTCCGCTATTGCCCCTAGTCTTCAATGACCATGCTACCAGAGTGACAATATAATGTGAGAGCTGGTCCACCCAAAAACACATGGTCATTTATTACACAGGATGTTGGAAATCCCATGACATTTATTTGGAGGGGGTCTGACTTCATCCTCATTAGCAGAGTGACACTTTTGCTACTATTTCAGAGATTCCACTACCATTCTTTTTTTTTTTTTTTTTACATATTGATCCCAGTTCCCCCTCCCTCTCTCCCTCCCTCTTACCCTCTCTCCCCCTCAAATGCACCCTGACCACCCTCCCCTCCCATTCCCCCACTCTCATTACACATCAGACCCCCTGAATATGGGTCTCAGTTGGAAGGACTTAGCAGTCTAAGGGACCTTAGACAGTGGAACCAGGATGTATTCCTGATTCACAAAAGGGCCTTGCTGACACATCCCCCATGGATGGATACTGCCTTAACCTAGAGACAGGAGAGAATTCCTAGTCCCTACTTCAAATGACTTGACAGATTTACATGATCCCACCTGGATAGCATTCTTACCAACAATATAAATGAAGTTTGTCACTACGCCGGCTCTATCCACATTCCTGTTGGTAAAGACTATGTTCTCTGGTGTTGCATACACAGGTTGAAATATATTGTCACCTTCAACTGTAATAAGGGAAATAAGTGTCACTGATTTTTCTATTTCATTTGCTATACATTAGCATTGACCATGACTCTAGCAATCATCTTTTATCCCTTATCATATGACACATATGTGCAATGATATTCCTGTAGTCCTTCATTTTGCATATCCCATCATAGTACTGTGACCAATCATTTCTTCTCTTAAATCTGATAGTGAATCCTAAGTACACACACTTTCCCTTTACTCTGAATTCCTTGTGTCAAGACTTTGGAACCACTCTATTGGGTTTTCCTTCCCCTACCAATCAGATCCCAAAGGCCACTTTTCAGTTTCTTCAAAGTATGAAACTCTGGTATTACACCATGCTAATACACATTGAGCTAAAAAATGTGAAAAATATAGACTGTTCTAATTAATAAAATGCACAAAAGTTTTCATCTTGTAAGATTATTGATGAATACTTGTAAGGATAAACATTTTGAGTTTGACAGGCATTCACATTTTATGAATGTATCAGTCTGTCTATCTGTGTATGCAGGGGTGTGTGTGTGTGTGTGTGTGTGTGTGTGTGTGTGTGTGTGTGTGTGTGCTGTGGCGCACGCATGTGGTATATCCACTCACTGACAATTACTAAAATTATAAAAGTGGCTCCCATGAAAAGGGTTAATAGGGTGTGGTGATTTTATATTTCAGGACTACTTTTTAATACCCATGTAAATTTAGTAAAGCATGAGACTTGCCACAAGAATGTACCCTGTGTTCACTTAAATCAAACCAAATGTCCACCTGTGTATACTTAAGTTAAATACTGTAGTTATTGTTTTATCAGTTATTACAAAATTGAAACACTCAGTCTGAAATTCTTAAATAGATTTTCACCTAATTGCTTTTCAAAATTGAAGTTTATCAAATGATATTCCAAATGTAATCTATCCAAAATATGAGAGAAACAATCTTTGAAATGGCACAGTTAATTTAAATTTAGCAAAAATTATGAATAAAAGACAATATCAGTCCTATAAGTACATCAGTTCATGAGGGATGAAGTTTGCAAAGATTTGCAGGCCACTGAGACCTATTAGTGAGTGGCAGACATGTCCAGTAACAAACTGAGACACTGCATGGAATAAAAAATATGGAATATTAACTGGAAACAAATTTTCCCATTGGGAAACTATTTAGTGACATTTTGTTGGAATTATTCAAATCTTTCAGTACTATTGTACTTCTCCATGTAAACTTCAGATGACCTACAGTGTAATATGACTTTGAAGCATATCTTAGTGCTTTGGGAGTATGGAATCCATTCCAAGTAGCAAAAAAAAATGTTCAGGATTTGTGAATTTATACTGCCTGAAGTATCAGCATTAATGTGCACACACACATTGCTTTTGTTCATAGGGGGGAGCTTTCAGATACTGTACTTACACTGGGTCCGGTAGGTGCCATCTGCTTGCTTGTACCCAATGACCTTGGTCTTTGAGCATTGGTTATTTGCACTACAAAACAAACAGAGAAACCATGGCTTATTATTTATAAACCTTGGATTCATATTAAAGATGTCAAGTGTCATATTGAATTTATGGAGTAATAGGATATATGAAGAGTATACAGAGCCTAGACCAAATTATCCAAGCTTATGTCACTTTTCCTAATCCTTGTTTAGAAAATATCAACATGATTTAATCATACAGATGACTTCCTTTATTTGTGCACATTTTGCCTAATCTGAATTTCCTAATGTCCCTCTTTTCCAAACTTCATTTTTCAATGGGTATGATTTCAAATATGCTAATTAACTTGTGCTAGTCCAACAATAATATGCACAGAGTTTCTTTTTATGCATTTGTTTTATGTACTTTAATTGGTAACCTGACATTTAAAATTGTGGCTACAAGATAGAAATTGTTCTAAGCATTTTTATTTCTTGTAGTCTTTTATAGTCTTTCATTGAACATAGTAATCCAAGTGAGAGATAATCTTTGAATCTAGAGCTTCAGAGAAAGGGAATCCTAAATTAGATTTATCTGACCTATTTGTGGAAGAATATTTCATGACATCCTTGACTGAATAATATAAAATGCATGCCTTTCACCCAATTGCTCACACAGTCTTATTCACTTAGTAGAAATTGGAACCTTGTAGACTCCTGAATCTAAAATTAGATGATAAAATTCAACAATATTCCAAATACAAGGATTTATAAAAAAAAAAATGTTCATCGAATTGGAGACATTGTCCAACCTCTGTGCAGTATCCAGATCTGCTCCATCAAGTAATAATATTAGCAAATTGCTAAAGACAAGGTCTTCAATTTCATGACCAGAAACAGAACATGCCCCTATAAACTTAACAACATGAAAGCTTAAGAGCGCATAAATATTCTGCTCAATTTACATGGTTGACAATTTGCTTACTTGACATAAAATGTGACTCCCATTTCACTACAGTCCTCATTACAAGAAAGTTCACGAACGTAGAGTCTCATAGGTCCTTCTTCCTTTATCTTGTCATTATTGTCAGCAGCGATGGCAATGGTATCCCAATTTCCTTGAAGCTGTAATAACAACAACAACAATTTTAAAAGGCAAAAATCAAGTTATTTGTATATATTCACATGTGATCCCAGTCCTTTTAAATATGTAACCTAGCTAGAACTATCAATCAATAATATGTTGTATGTTAGTACAACGTTATGTTCCTACGGATGCAGAATAACTCAACAGTGTAATATGATGACCCAATCAACATAGAACATTGTGAACCTGCAATCTTGCAGAACTGCTCATGTTTTGAACTCTTCTGCTTTACAAATACCACCCACTGTTTCCTTTTTGCATTTGCTTCATCAACAGATATCTGACTGAAAAAGTGTACCTGCATGAAAGTTAGAAAGTTAATTTCATGAATATTAACTTGCATGAACTAAATGAATGATGTATCACATCCACACAAATATGCTATTGATGAACCTCAGACATATGCACAGACCAAATGAATTTACCTCAGCATAATCATTAGCATGAGCCAGACCAAATGCCAAAGCTAGCAGCAGAAAGTTTGTCATGGTGGTGCCTGCCTTTGCTCTTCTGTAGAAGCTCAAAGAGGTCAGTGGTTGTGATGCAACTGGACCGACAAAGCTTTTTATACAGCCAGTTATAGGGAGTTTCATGGAATCAACCAATGGTTATGCTCCACACTAAGCTACATCTGTCTCATATTTCCTTGTTGGCCCGACCGAATAATGTATGATCTCATATCCCTAAACTATAGTGATTAGCCTAAGTGTCAGGTTGTTTTGGGTTTAAAATTGAGCTGTCCTGTCAGAAAGAAAGGGCTATATTGGTAGAGCATTTAGAGCATTTAAGTAATGTTTTTGTCTCTAGAACTATACTGGTAGTCAATGGTCACATTGCATATGCATATGCCCTATATGATTCGTTAAGCAACATGATGAGCATTCTAAAATTCTTTCAAAATCTAAGCATAATACTGCGCAGTTAAAACAACTTACTACTGTATCTGAGGCAATATTAGCCAGAGTAACCACATTCTTAGAGGATAAGATGTTAAAACTTAAGGGGGATTTTAAGATTTCTCCATGTGTTGAGTACTTTAATCTTCTAGTACATTAAATTCAACTACCATGGTATAGGTCTACCAGAGTTCACATAAAGCTTAACTCTACATATGGTAGGGGAAATGTTACAATTACTTGCAATAAATGTAGTTATCGTTAATTAAAAGAAACCAAATCAAGTGTAACAATCTATAAATTTATAATGTTCAGAAAAACTGTTCGAATTTGAGAAGGGACTCTACATTGAAGCTGAATATATTGTTTTTTGTTTCCTAAATTAAGGATAATCCCCAGCCAATTCACTTCTTTACACACCAAAATCAAGGCCTGTTCTGTGTTGAGCCATAGGTTCCTTTCATCTGTTTTTAGGAACAACCAAGAAGAATATCAGAAGTACTGTTTATCCTCTGTGGCTTCCTCTCTAACACATGGAATAACCTGCAATTTGCACTTTGGAAAATTGGGGTGACAACATATAGGGTTTAACAATAACATTATAGGGTATTTGGTGGCCTTTGTGGCCCTTTCTTTCAATTACATTCCATTATTATTTCTATTTCTTTCATTTTTGAAATTACAACATAATTTCATCATTTTCCACTTTCATTTCCTCACTCTGAACCTTCCAATATGCTCAACTCTTCATTCCTTTCAGTTTTGTGGACTCTTTTTTTTTTTTTTCACTGAATGTTGTTACATGCATGTGAGTTTCAAGGTTTCAAGTGAGTCTTAAACTTTTGTCTGAAGATTTGGTGTTAGGAATAGCAGAAGAGACATAAAAAGCCACATTTATTGTCTGAGGTCCTGGTTATGGCACTCAGAAGAATGTTTTAACATGCTGCCATTTACCTGCAAATGTAATGATTTCCTTTTTTCTTTGCCTTGGAATATTATTACATTGTGTTTATATACCAGTTTCCTTATCTATTAGACAGATGTAGAACATTTCATTTGTTTCCATTTTCTCCCTGCTGTGAACAGAGTAGCAATGAACATTAATGAAAAAGTGTCTGTGAAATAAAATACCAAATCATATAGGCATATTCCAAAGAGCTGTATAACTGAGTCACAATGCACACATTTATCTTTAGGAACCTAAGAATTCCAGTTTATGAACCCTCTCCACTAATTCTAGGGGTCTCAACTGGGGTCATTGTTGTGGATTCTTGGAAATTTCCCTAGCATCAGGTTTCTTCCTAGCCCTGTAATGTCTCCCTATAAGGAAATTTCTCTTTCTTTTCTCTTCCACCCCTGCCCTTCCTTCACAGTATTAAGATTGGTGACTACCCCAATCGTTATCATAGAAACTTCATCCTGTAACAGATGGAAGCATGTGCAGAGATCCAAATCCAAACATCAGGCCAATGTATGGGAGTCCAGTCAGAAAGAGCGAGGACAGATTTCATGACCCAGGGGATTGAAAATCATGATGAGGGATACCCACGGAGACTGTTGTCCTGAACTTCAGTAATTGCCAGAGCTCATGGAATCTAGACCAACAGGTGGGGATGCAACATGGGATGCAACATGGCCTTTGGCATGTGGTTGATAGTTTGAAGACTAGTGTGTGTCTGACACCCCCTTCCAGAGAGACCATGATCTATCCCTAGTGGATGCTCTGGAATTTTAAAACCCATTCCATATGGTGGGCTGTTTTATTCAACCTTGATGCTGGGGGAGAAGAGGGTAGGGGGTTGATCCTGCTTAACTTTAAGTTCCAGGCTTTGTTGACAGTGCAGGAAGTCTTAAGCTAACTCAGGAGTGGATAGGCGTTAACTGGGAGGGAAATGGCAAGGAGTGGATGGAGGAAGACCTCTGTTTAGTATGTAAAAGGAATAAAAACATAAAATAAACATGAAAAAGAAAAATAAGTATTCTCCACACTGTTTTCCAGTGTTACTATACATGTTTGCGGTTCCAAAAATCATGTATCTGGGCTCCTTGTTCAATCTCTCAGTCTCACTCTCTCATCTCTGTGTTTGTATGTGAGCTTACACGAGTGGTGTGTGTTTGGGGGGGGTATTCTGGATATCACATGTGGCATGTCTGCTTATACTGGGGGTAAACTAACAATTCCTTTCTGCTGGAATTTTTGGAAGGGGATATGACTCATGGAACGGTAATCTTCATTTCTGGACTAGGGGGTCACTCACAGGTAAGGGGAAGAAAGAACTTTGAACAGCCCTATTCTTTATTTGTGAGGCTTTTAGGGCCCAATCAGGGTACAAAAAATAGCCCTGATTAACCTCATAGTGCCACAAACAAAAGTAAAGTAAATAATACAGTGAAAAGCACTTGTTGGGTAGAAGGGAGAGGAATTGACAAGGTTGAGAGGAAATCAGAGAGCATAATCAGAATATCTTATATATCTGGGACATGACCTTCAAAAATATTTTAAAGCACATTACTGGAGATATACATGATGAACCAACTTTTTGAAGAATGAAAAGAAATACTTGTGGAGTACAGAATGTAACTTGAAGTACTGAGACATTCTTAGCATTCAGGTCATAGACCTGGACCCCTGAGCCACATATATTCTTTCTTCCATGAAGTCCTTCCACCCTGTCCCAAGATCCAATTTTCTGTTTAGTGACACTCGTGGAATATGTTTGTTTGTAAAACTCTAGAAAGTAAATAATAACAGTGTAAAGGATACTACTTATTATTTCTTCACGTGCTTTTGTTTTCTGATACCAGTCAGAAAGATTGAGTGGACAGTCCACTTTATAATCCAATTAGAATTTGATGATGTACTTCTTTGTTTGTCGACCTTTTCAAAGCCCGTGATGCTTCACTGACTTCTGCTCTACAGGAACTCTGCTTCTGTATTTCTTGGCATGATATCCTGGATCAATATTAAAAGAGGTGCTCACCATAATGACTTATTTGCCTCTAACCTTTTGCCAAAACTCAGTCTTTGGGCACAGATACATTGTAATACATTTTTATGGTTTCCAATAGAAGTAGTATTTTATAATTTCAGAAGGAACAAAGTGACTTGAACATGATTGATCCATTTTCTTATTTTATTTTCTGTAGTCCAATCTGCAGATCATTGGACATTTTTATCAGCAGTGTTCATTTTTATTAATGATATTAGCGATTCTGTTGTACAGTCTGAATACATGTGCTGTTATAAATCAATGTATTGAAATATTTTCTCAGAATATAATCGCTCTACCAACTATTTCTTCTGCATATCTCAAAGTCCCAAATATATAAGTTTTAAGAAAGGAAGTTTGGCACTGTCCTTCTCCCCCACTTCCTCTACTTCATACGCCAATGCAGAAATTCAATGTTTATTTTCCTAAGATGTATTTCATCTAACGTATATCCAAGATTTCAAAGTTACAGGTGATCAGTTCTCCTACGTCTTTTCTAGCCTTGCCCCTTAAATATAGGGATCTCATATTTTCCTGGATGTAGCTATATGTAGTGTATAAGACAACTAAGGAGTTTCGGATTGCACCTATTCATTTTTTTTCCTAAACAACCAATATGATGTAAGGAGTGACTTTTTTTTTTTTTACTTGATTGTTAATTTATCAAAATCCTACTTAAAAGAATACCTGTCAGAAATGTGGTCCTTTACTGTCTTAAGAAAACCGTTTGTGTTTACTATTGCTAAGTTAATAACCATATTTGGAACCTTATATATTATGAAAGACATATGCTGTGTGTCTAGTACACACTATGGTAAAAACTTCTCCAGAATGAAGTCACCATGATGATTCAGAAAATCAACACTATTTCATTTTCAGTTGAACAAGAAATCATCTCAGAGTACCCCACCTCAAGCACTGTCTTTGGCTTAGGATTCCTGCATCATTAAATTCATTGATCATCATCCCTTTAGGTTGGTATCAAATCAGAAGAGATTTATTTTATCATTATTTCCTTCAAACCTCTGACCTCCTGGGCCCATATCTTGGGCATTTGTAATCTTCTTCCTACCTTGCATATGAATCCTCTCCCTAAAATAATGCCACAGTGGATTAAAACAAACTGATTACCAATCCTCTGTCCTCTTCTCCATGACAGGAAGATGCCCTGGACAGTCCCACTCTCATTGCTACAGTACATGCATAAGCATTCCCTGTTTACTGTTTCACCACTATGTCTCACAGTCCCAAATAACTAAAGATTAATGAGGGTTTCCTCTCCTCTCCACCTCTTCGTAAATCCTAGAAAAAAAAAACTGTCATTCATACATGTTTTCTCAAAATAAATTCTTATGTCCAATGTCCAAGTTCTTAGACTTTAACATAATAAGTTCATCTAAAGTTTATTCAGCTTCCATTTTTAAATACATAAATCCATGTTTCAACTGGACATAGTGATAGTAGTGGAGAAAACAACTGAAATTTTCAAATGCTGTTATTCATTTCCCCCGACAATACGTTTAGGATTAATAATATTTTTCTTTTGGGATTATCAAGATCCTCCTAGATATCCATTCACAAATCTCTCCTTCACATTTTCAT